GCTTCTCCCTCTCCCACTCCCCCTGCTTGTGTTCCCTCTCTCCCTGTGTCTCTGTCAAATAAATAAATAAATAAATCTTTAAAAAAAAAAAAAAAAGCTCTCCTAGTGGGTCTTGGAGGGCAGCTCTATTTTATCCTGGGTGAGAGGCCTGGTGAGTCCCAGGCCTGGTGACAGAGAGAGGGAAGAATCTGCAGACGATCCTGGGATGGGGATACATCCTTAGGCCCAGCTGCTTCCCATCCTTGGGTTCTGGGACAGACACCTCCCCCCCTCCACACCCACACACCATCCTTATGATAATCATGCTCCTTATCGCTTACTGATTAAGGAAGCTTGAAAAGCATTCTGTCACTTGCAACCAACCCCACAGAATCCTAGCTTGTTTGTTCAGCTCTTCATTCATTCCTTCAACAAACATTTACAGAGCCCCGTTGTGATGTGTGTAATGTAACTGGAAACATTTCGGCACTGACAGTGTTTAGGATTTTGTGGGGGCTGCACGCGCTACTGCTGTCAGGGGCACGTAAGGGAGTGGTGTTCGTTGTCCATTCCCCGCAGCTGTGCACACTCGAGCTATTCTGGAAGCCTCGCCCCAGCGGCTGTCAGCCGGCGTCTAGGCAGAAAGGCCACCCTCCAGGGGCCCCACCGCAAATGCCACAGCTGTCCCTGTCTCAACACGGACACAGGAGGCTTTGTGAAGTCAGCATAAAGAATGTGAGCAGTGGCTTGCCAGGGATGAAATGCGGGGCTTCTGGGCAGCACAATGGATGTCAGACAAGATTCTCACTGGCATTCGAGAAATGTGGACTGGCTGACTTTTTTTCCCCCCTGTTCTGGACACTCTGCCCTTCCATGAACTGGGACGCTGACTTCAACAAGCCCTGTTGTCTGCACCCCTAGGGACAGCCGCCAGCCCTCGTCCCTAGCCAGGCCCGTGTCCAGGTTCACATTCTGTGGAGTGTGACTCACGGGCCATCGGCCCCTGTGCCGCTAGCTCGGTCCCGTCCAATATGGTGGTCACAGCCACCGTGTGGCTTTTAACACTGAAATTACTAAAACTGATGTAAAATTCCAAATTCAGATCCTTGGTACCGTTGGTCACATCTGTGAGTGGCCGAGAGCCACACGCGGCGGTGGCCCCCATCTGGGACAGCGCCAATCTGGATTTGAATGTCGTTGCGTTTGCCCTCACAGGACCCTCGTGTAAGGTAAAGTCAGAGCCCTCGTGTGACAGAGAGCTGGGGGCCTCGTGACCGCACAGAACAGACCGTGTGCCCATCTGGTAGCTTCTAGGCCAACACATGTCTCTGCGTGGCTGCACTGGGCGCGGAGCTCGCTTCCATCATAACCCGGCTGTGAGGTGGCGGGAGCAACGAAAGCCCGAGGCCGCCTCATCTCTGGGGGCTGCCGTCAGCTGCTGAAAGGAGCCACGGAGCAGGACGGAACGGGTGCCCACCGCCTGGAGCCCCCGAGGAGCAGACAGAGGGCAGGAGGCCTGCCCTCGAGGATGACGTCCAGCGCCTCACCTTTCATCCAGCTGAGCGAGTACTCCCGTCGGCAGAGGGGGCTGATGCAGTGCGAGGTGTAGAAGGTGCCATGGGCCTCCACCAGGTCCTCAGGCTCCAGCCCCGCCACTCGCTCTAGCGTGTCTATGTTCTGGGAGGGAGAGACGGAGGGAAGAGGCTCAGGAGTGAGACACCCCCCGCCCCCCGCCGGCGGCAGAAGGCAGAGCATGGCGCTGTGAAGAGAAGCAAATGGGAGAGAGGGAGAAGGAAGGGAGGGAGAAGCAAGGGGCAGGATGTGCTCTGTAAACTCGTCTGCTCATTGTCAGGGGGTCACCGAAGGGTGAAAGTCACAGATGGTTAAAGGTGGAGCCCAAACTCATACGTCTGTGAGCCCAGACCCACTGCCACCTTCAGCCCAGATGGAGTGTTTCTGCATAGTCAGGCCACTTTGTTTCCATTTTTCAGGAAATTTGTTTTTTGTTGGGACCACACGACGTTCATGGCACCTGCCAGAAATTTGTTGGCATTGATGGACAAGCCTACAGTGGCTCTGTTGGAAATAGAGTGCCCTCAGATGTGGCATCCTTGTGCAGTACCCAACCTGCACAGCTGTCTGTGGCAGCCCTGGCTGAGCAGTAACAGAAATAAGTGAATCAGGAGGGTTTATTTGGTTTTAATCACTGTTTTCCTAATCAGCAGTCGGGTTTCTTACTGTGGTCTGTTTCACAGACGGCACATTAACTGGCATTCTTTTAAGACACGAATATATTCCTCATTAAACCAGCAAGACTATTCTTCCCTTCCACATAGACATATGTGCTCTCTCATTTTTCTTAAAGCATGCAGCCCCCCTGGGAGCAGCTTTTGTTTGCCCGTGAGGAATGCTGCGGAGGCAGGTGCTGACGGAGCCCCCAGCACGCGGGCAGATGCCACCCCAAGGCGGCCGGTCATGTGCAGCCCACAGCTGACCCGGCACGGCCTCCCTGAGACTCCATGCACAACCGAAAGGGTTCTCTTTCAAGGGCAGATGGCCCCATCCGCTCTCTTCGCTCCCTGCCAGCAATCAGCTTGTTCCCCAAACGTGCAGACAAGAGCCACTGTTCCCAGACTCTCTCTGCAGCTTTTCCCCTCCCCCCGCATTAGCTTTGCCTTTGTTACTTGACTCAGTCTACAGCCCCCCTCACACGTGAGGAAGCAAGCAGTGTGCGTGCAAATAATTAAACAGCATGTAAAAAAAACTACTGAGCTGCCTCTGTTGTTCTGAGGCCACTTCTGATAGAGAAACCACCAACGAGAAATGAATGAGGCTGTCCTGTATGTCCCGATGTGGAAATGATCGCTCCAAGAGGTTAAAAGGCACAGGAGAACAAAGGCTGTGGGAAAACTATATATGAAGGTGTGTATTTGTTTGCCTGTGTATAGAATGTTTTTAAAGGTAATACAAGGGACGCCTGAGTGGCTCATCGGTTAAGCGTCTGCCTTTGGCTCAGGTCCTGGGATCGAGCCCCGCACTGGGCTCCCTGCTCCGCGGGGACCCTGCCTCTCCCTCTCTCTCTGCCGCTTCCCCTGCTTGTGTGCTCTCTGTCTAATAAATAAATAAAATCTTAAAAAAAAAAATAACGGTGATAGGAGAAGCCAACAACAGCAGTGGCCCCTAGGGAGGGAAGCTGAGGGCTGGGGAGGACGGCCCCAGGACGCCCTCTCCTAAAGGCCAGGTGGTGATGAACGCATGATGGTATGTGGGGAGTGACATGTAGCCTGGGTGTGTGGTGGCAAGCAGGGCACGGTGAGGATGGGCAGTGGCCTCCCAGCTCCAGCCCAGTGCTCCCCCGGGGGCAGCCAGCTCTTCTCAATCTGCAGGAGGAGCCTGAAGTCCGGATTTTCAACTGAACTCTCTTGCTTTTGAAACCTTGGCTCCTTTTTTGTTTCGGAACACTGTGTCCCCCTGATGGACACAAAGGCAACAGCGGTTTTGAAAAAGCATGAAGTTGGGGGTGCCTGGCTGGTTCACCTGGTAGAGCAGAGCTTGAGCTCGAGGCTGGGAGTTTGAGTCCCACACGTTGGATGGAGAGATTACTTAAAAATAAAATCTTAAAAAAAAAGTTGTTTTTTTTTTTAATTTTTAAGTAATCTCTACACCTAACGTGGGGCTCAAGTTCACAGCCCTGAGATCAAGAGTCGCATGCTCCACCGACTGAGCCAGCCAGGCGCTTCTAATTTTTGGATGTTGATTACATGTTGAAGTGATAACATTTGGGACATATTGGGTTCAATCAGGTAGGCTATTAAAATTAATTTCACTTGTTTCTTTTTAGTATTTTTTGTAATGGAGCTACTTTCTAAATATATAGCTTGCACTATATTTCTGTTAGGCAACCTAAGGGGAGGGACACTATGGACAAAAATTAACACAATAAATAAGTACATATTATACGGTATGCTAGGAAGTGCTAATTTCTACGGAAAATAAAGTTCTGGGTAAGAGAGTATATTTGCTTCCTGTTGCTTCTATAACAAATTACCACAAACATAGCAGGTCAAAAACCCCACAAATTTATTATCTTGCAGTTCTAAAGGTCAGAAGTTCAAAATAGCTCTTCGGGCCTAAAATCAAAGGCCGAGCCTTCCCGAGGTTCCAGGGGAAAATCCACTTGTCTTTTTCAGCTTCTAGAGGGTACCTGCTTTGGCTCCTGGCCACATCACTCTGACCTCTGCTTGCAAAATCACATCTCTTTCTCTGACTCTGGTCCTCCTGCCTCCCTCTTGTAAGGACTGTGGAGATTATATTGGGCCGCCAGGATGATCCAGAATAATCCCCCCATGTCAAGATCCTTAATTTAGTCACATATGTAAAGTCCCTTTGACCATGTAAGGTAACATACTCCCAGATTCTGGGGATTAGGAAGGGGAAGTCTTGGGGGAATATTATTCTGCCCGCCACGAGGAGGGGCAAACCGGAGGTGGGTCTGTTCCTGGGACCCCCTCCCCCTCCCTGCACCTAAGCCAACAGGGGTCAGAAGTCAGCGCCGTCCTGGTGCCTCCGGAATGTTGCCTGAGGAGCAGGAGGGTTTGAGACCCCTAATCATCCTTGGTCTCGGGGCACAGGGTCTCTCGCCATGGTTCCTCAAAGGGCAGGCTGACCTGTGGGGAGCGGCAGGAGGCTGGGTCAGAAAGGCAGTGGGTCCGGCGCTCCCCTGCAGCCGCAGTCCGGAGGGACGGTCACCTGCGCTCCGGCGTGGCCCTGTCTGTCGCGTCTATGCAGCGTCCGCCGGCTGTGCCACTGGCGGAGGGAGGCGCGAGCCTCAGAACTGATCCCCTGGGGCGCGCGGCCCGCGTCGGGCTGGTAGTGAGCGATGTGGTGCAGGGCCCCAAACCACGTGGTCAGGTAGTAGCCGGCTAGGGACAGGACGGGGTGGTCAGCGCGGCTCTCCGGCTACCCTGGTCGCCCGAGGTCCCGCGGCAGTTTGTCCGCCTTCCCCCCTGCTGCGGGGCGCGGCTGTTGGGCCCTAGGGCGCCCCCTGTTGGGTCCCGGCGTTTCTGGGGTGCGGACTCACCTTCCCCACGCAGCTCCTCGGGATCCAGCAGCTCCATGAGAAACTCCACGTCCAGCTGCGTCTCCCCAATGTGCGGACTCCAGATCAGTTCTTCCGTCAGCGCGGGCAGGAAGGCGTCGGCCCCCAGGGGCTCTGGCGGAGCCGGAGGACAGGCTCTGAGCTGGATGGGGGCCGTGTAGACACGTCCCTCCGATCCCCAGGACCACGCGCGCTGGCGGCCCCTCCACTTGTTGAGCATGCAAACGCCTCCTACCAGACCCCCAGGCCCGCGTAGACGCCTCGCGCTAGAGCGTACCACCCTCCCCCCTCGACGTGCACGCAGGCGCCTCCCACCCCGCTCCCGCCACCCTCGAGCTACCGCGCGTCCAGGTGGACGCAGGTAAACCTCCTTTACCTTGGTTCTCGCCCTGAGCCAGGCCCGCGTAAACGTCACTGCACACCGCCAGCAGCAGCGCCACCTTGCGGCGTGGGGCGCAGGCGGCGTGGAGGTGCGCCAGGCGCGCGTGGATGCGGCTCCGCAGGGCGGGGGCGGGGCCCTGCCCCTCGAGCCCCGCCCCCCGGAGGTGCGGAGGCCCCGCCCCCGCCCGCAGCGCTATTTGTCGCTGCCGCAGTCGCCGCAGTTCCTGGGCGCGGAGCGTGCGGAGTCGCGTCCACAGGGCAGGCTTCAGGGGCGCCAGCACCGCCCGGCACAGGGCCGCCTCCACCGCGGCGCCTGCGAGGGGTTGGGGCGAGTGAGCGAAGGGCCGCCGGGCTGACCCCCTCCCCGGGGCCGAGCGCCACCCTCAAGTGTAGGCACGGGTGGGAGAACACGCGTGGAAGAGGGAGCCCGGGTGTGGACACGCGCGTGGGAGAGGGAGTGCGGCTGTCACACATGTGAGAGACGGAGCAGTGGCGAACGGAGCAGGAAAAGGCGTGTGAGTGGCAGAGCAAACAGGTGCGCAGGGATGGGGAGAAAGAAGTTGGGTGTGAACGCACATGGAGGGCCAAAGGAGGGCACACGAGAACCCGAGTGGGTTCGGGAAATGGCCATAAGTTCTCTCCCAGCCCTCCTTATTACCAAGATGCTCGTCCTTCTGGGGGACCCCAGGCCCCCTGCTCTCCAAAACAGCCCTGACATTGGGGTCCTTTGATAAGTGATCCTGGAGGTCAGTAAGGAGGTGCCGCACATCCTGAAGCAGCTCTGTGGCGGGGTCCCCAGGCCTGTGGGGGCCTCTGGCATTTGAGGTGAGGCGTGCCCTAAGGCTCTGGAACTGCCTGCCCACATAGCTGCCCCGGGCCCTGGCCAGAGCCTGGATGTGATGGGTGAGCACATCCTCAGGGCCGTTCTCTTCATCTTTGTAGTTGTCCTCGTTCTCGTCCTCATCCTTGTCCTCCACTTTCTCCTCCACCAGGCTGGCCAGAGCTGGCCCAGGATGGTGTACTTCTGGGCTGAGCGGGCCTTCAACCCAGCAGACCCGGTGAGGGGCAGGGTTCCTGGGGGCTGGATGTGAGGAGAGAGTTGGGCCCCACAGAACAGCAACAGTAGCTCCCCCGTCCCTAGGGGCCCAGGGCCCCGTCTAGCCCAGCTAACCTGAACTGTGTCTTTCTACAGTTTCTGGAGGTGTCTCCGGGGGGATCTGCTCCATCCCCCACCCTCTGTGGGTCTCCAGGTAGAGCTTGTTCACCATGGACAGCACCCTCTCTGAGATGTTGAGGTGGACACTGCCAGTCTGTGGAGGACCTGGGGACCAGAATAACCGAGGTGTCCCAGATATCCAAGGAGCCAGCTCTGCTTCCTTCAGGGCACCGGGGGACTTAATTCCCAGCCTCATTACTGGTTTGGCCCCTGGTCTCTTGTCACTCAGGCCCAGGAGGCAAGCCTCCCACAGCTTCCCTCACCCCCCATTTTATTCTCCCTCAAACCTGGTAGTCTGGTCCCTGAAGGGCCGTCCTGCCAGACCAAGAAGCTGGAAAGTGGCTTCCCCCTCCCTTAGGGAACCATCCCTCACCTGTGTGTTGGTCTCCAGGCCTTAGGGTGGCAGGGGGCAAGAGCAGTGTTCTGGGCAAAACATCCCTGAGAAAAGATAAGGGGGAACAGCAGTGTGGGTGGGATGTCCTTAGGGATGGATCACCCTTAGCCCTTTTGATGGGTGACCAGTACCTGCTGGCTGATAGGAAGGCCAGGAGATGGGGCAGGTCTGGCATGCAGAGGTTAGAATATTCCAGAGACACACCTGGGGGTAGGGGGCAACAAGGGGCAAGGAAGAAAGGTTGAGGGGTGGCAGCCTCATCTTCGCTGGCACTCTGTCTTCCTCCATCCTGTAATTCTCCCCAAAGACCCTCAAGAGAGGGAAATTTCTACCTTTGGAGTCCCCATCTTTTCCTGAGTCTTTATGTTTGCATCCCACTTATGGCACCAAATAGCATTTGGGAGATATTTTGGAAGCAAAGCTGATTAAATTTGCTGTGGGCTGGAATCTAGGGGGTAGGCTCCTCACCTCCAGGAAGCTTCTGGATCTGGTAGGTGTGGACTTCTCCTGGTGAAGCTCCTGTCCTCAACACCAGGACCTGGCTGGGGTCATGTCCTGTGACCAGGAAGCTCTGGGGGGGATGTGGTGGAGACAAAGGTTATCTTTTTTTTTTTTTTTTAAGTTTTATTTAAGTAATCTCTACACCCAACCTGGGGCTCGAACTCACAATCCCGAGATCAAGAGTTCCCTGCTCTTCCAACTGAGCCAGCCAGGCACCCCGAGGCAAAAGTCATCTTGAAAGGGATTTGTGCAAATCTCTGTTACTTTTGCCTGCCCAGCACCCATTTCCCTTATTTTGGATTCCACACCCCAAACTTCCTTTAAGGAAACCCACTCCCTCCCTTAGTCCCTGCAGGTGGGACTAACTCCCTCCAAGGCCCAGGGATGGTCCCGTGACCTGATCTAGCCAACAGGATGACAGTACTTTCTCATCACGGTGATTGGTTCAGAGGTGGGCATGTGAATCAAGCCCAGCCAATGGAAATCTTCCACAAGATTTTTGCTGGAGCTCTTTGGAAGGAAGCCTCTTTTTACACTGGGATTGCTGGGCTTGCGGGATGTGGCCGTGAGCTGGGGACAGCCATCTCTGCCACCACAGGGACAGAGCCCCCTTGTGAAGGAAGCTGTATAGACCCGCTAGTTGCCTTATCCAAGTCTATCCCTATCCCTTGCAGAACTGCAGCCTTGTTCTGGCATAATCTGCCCAGCTGGAGAAGACGGATGATGTGTAGGCAGTGTTTCTCACCTCTGGGTTTATAACTCCCAGGTGAGCTTTAAAAAAATATTGCCGTCTGGGGGCGCCTGGGTGGCTCAGTTGATTAAGCGACTGCCTT